AGCCCTCCCAAAGTGAAGTCTGTCACTGTTTCCATTCTCTCCCCATCTATTTGCCATGAAATGATGGGACTGGATGCCATAATCTTTGTTTTTTGAATGCTGAGTTTTAAGGCAGTTTTTTCACACTCCTTTTTCACCTTCATCAAGAGGCTGTTTAATTCTTCTTCAGTTTCTGTCATAAGGGTGGTGTCATCTGCATATCTGAAGTTATTGGTATTTCTCCCCGAAATCTTGATTCCATCTTGTGCTTCATCCAGCACATCATCATTTCACATGATGTACTCTGTATATGTTAAATAAGCATGGTGACAATGTACAGCCTTGACGTACTCCTTTCCCAATTTTGAACCAGTTTCAATTTTACTTTATACATAAATACAATTTTTTAAATAACATAAGCACTGTTTCCCACTATAGTGGTGATTCCCGAAGGGCTATGTCCCATTGCAGATATATTGCTCTGTTTTTAAATTTTTTATTAGAGTAAAGTTTATTTACAATGTTGTGTTAGTTTCAGATGTTCAGCAAAGTGAATCAGTTATACATATATTCACTCCTTTTTTTTTCATTTATTTTTATTAGTTGGAGGCTAATTACTTTACAATATTGTAGTGTTTTTTGCCATACATTGACATGAATCAGACTTGGATCTACATGTGTTCCCCATCCTGAACCCCCCTCCCACCTCCCTCCCCATCCCATCCCTCTGGGTCATCCCAGTGCACTAGCCCTGAACACTTGTCTCATGCATCCAATCTGGACTGGCCACTCTTTTTAAGATTCTTTTCCATATATGTCATTACAAAATAATGAGCAGAGTTTCCTGTGCTATACAGTACAGGGAACTGTACTGTTATTAGCTATCAATTTTATATATAGTAGTGTGAATATATCAACCCCAATCTCCTAATCTATCCACCCCTACCCCTGGGTGATCCTAAGTTTATTTTCTACATCTATGACTCTGTGTTTTGAAGATAAGTTCATTTGTACTCTTTTTAAGATTCCATATATAAGCAATGTCTTATGATATTTGTATATGTTGTTCTTTGAAAGCAAACAAACAAACAAAAAAATCTGCCAACGTTTTAAGTCCAGGAAATGAGATGAGAACACAGTTTGTGTGTCCTGGGTTTCTCCTATCTATACAATGACCAATTCTGCTTAGAACTGACCACACTGATAAAATTTTACCCTAACTTCTCATCTTACCTACAAGCCGCTCAGTCATGTCTGACTCTTTGTGACCCCATGAACTGTAGTCCGCCAGGCTCCTCTGTCCATGGAATTCTCCAGGCAAGAATACTGGAGTACTTTCCCTTCTCCAGGGGATCTTCCCAACCCACCCAGCGACTGAACCCAGTGATTGAACCGAGGTCTCCCACATTGCAGGTGGATTCTTAACCATCTGAGCCACCAGGGAAACTCATCTTAAGATTCCGTCTTCTGAGATTTCCATTTGAACTGAATGTACAACTAAATCTTTTTCCTCCCCATAAGGAATGCTACAAAAGTTGTGAGAATGGTAAGATCCACAGATGTGGAAGGGTGACACCTGGACTACTCCAGGTGAAAGTTCATATGACAATGCTTTGTGGAAGGAACTACAGTATCTGTAAATATAGATGATTCCTGCAAGGAAGGAATGGCAAGATAATAATTCAGGAGCAAAAAGCAGATAGGTGAGAGTCAGCATATTCAGCTTAGAATGTTTGACCAGTATCTGTAGCAAAGGAAGACAACCAAATATGATGCAGGAAGGGTCACTGAGGTAAATATTCAGTTAGTTCAGTTCAGTTCAGTTCAGTTCAGTTACTCAGTCGTGTCCGACTCTTCACGTGAATTGCAGCACGCCAGGCCTCCCTGTCCATCACAAACTCCCGGAGTTTACTCAAACCCATGCCCATCGAGTTGGTGATGCCATCCAGCCGTCTCATCCTCTGTCGTCCCCTTCTCCTCCTGCCCCCAATCCCTCCCAGCATCAGGGTCTTTTCCAATGAGTCAACTCTTCACATGAGGTGGCCAAAGTATTGGAGGTAAATATTAATCCATCAGAAATAGGAAACTGTTTCCCATCCAATTTTGAAAACATAATTGCTTAATTTAATATTGCTCACTTATTAGGACAAACAATAACAAGAAAAGAGCTCCTTCAGCAGAGTATAAAATGGGACCTGGAGCAAGAAGGCATTCAGATTCAAGAAATATACTCTTCTGAAAATCGTCCCAGAACCTCTACCCTCTGACCCCATGGTCAACTCTCATTGGGGTTCCATCTGCTCTGACCAGAGCTGTGGCCAAGGTCTCTGCCAGGAAACCTGCTACCCCCCCCCCAGGTGCTGCCAGACCACCTGCTTCACAACCACCCCCTGTGGTGTGTCCAGCTGCTGCCACCCTGTCTGCTGCCACCCCACCTGCTGCAGGACCACCTGCTGTCACCCAGCTGCTGTATCTCCAGCTGCTGCGGGCCCACATGCTGTATCTCTAGCTGCTACCACCCCAGATGCTGTAAGACCACCTGCTGCCACCAAGTCTGCTTTAGGGGTTCTTGCTGCTGAACGTCCTGTCCTGCACCATCAACCAACCTGATGTCCAAGTATTAGCTGAACCATGAGAGGCCAACTGCCAAACCTCAGTTCTAACAGATTCTTATACTGAATTTGGCCTCCAAATATATTGCCCCCTCTCCATCATGATATTTTCTCTCTGCTAAACAAGCACAAAGTATTAATTTTCTCTGAAATCTGTCAACCAATACATTCCAATTATATATTTGTTTCCTACCAAATTTTCTTTTTTTTCCATTTATTTTTATTAATTGGAGGCTAATTACTTTACAATATTGTAGTAGTTTTTGCCATACACTGACATGAATCAGCCATGGATTTACATGTGTTCCCCATCCCAATCCCCTCTCCCGCCTCCCTCCCCATCCCATCCCTCTAGGTCTTCCCAGTGCACCAGCCCTGAGCACTTGTCTCATGCATCCAACCTGGGCTGGTGATCTGTTTCACCCTTGATAGTATACTTGTTTCAATGCTATTCTCTCAGAACATCCCACCCTCGCCTTCTCC